GTATAACATTATAACATGATATAAAACTCAAAAAAGTTGATTTTACATGATATTGCCCCTTTAAATGCATAAAACCATTCTCGTCTTTTGTGTTGTGCATTTTCCTGATTGTTTCCTTTAGTTTGGACTGAATTGTACCTTATCAGAGACAAGTCTATATTTACTTTTTACATAAAGCTGTTACAGCTTTTGCAGCTGTTGGACGGTTGTTTTCATAAACTTGAGCGACAAACTTAAATGTAGAATAAATGAATGTCAGTGTTGCTAAAAAAATGACCGGGTTAATCACGCAGAGTTATTTCCTGTTGCTATCAGGTTAGTGAAAAGCAGTTTGTGTCTAATAGAGGATATTGTTTGGACAGAGGATTTGCACATCCCATGGGTGATATGGCAAATGCAAAAAATGTTTGGGAGAAACAACATGTCAGATATTTCACTGGTTTTGAAATCCATTTAACCCAATCCATATTTTAGCTGATGGTGTGGTACATGTTTAAGCCCTGATGCTGGAATGATTTGAACAAAGCCTCTGCTTGTTGGATCAATATTTGTGTTTTAAAGAAAACCGAAAGAAGCCCACTTTAAAATTAGGAATAACAAGAATTAAATGGAAAAATCAATGTTAGTCCAGTTTTGTGGTAAATTCTCCTAAAAATGTGTAATACGTTTAGGAAATCAAACCTTGCAGTATCATGTTCGTCACTTTGAAGTTCCCCTTTAGATAGTCTATTAAGTTAGGTTATGCAAGAAAAAAAAAACGTGGTGTCACATAAACTTCCCCTTTTTCTGTTTTGCTTTTAGAAAACCAAGTAGAGGAAGAGAAATGCATGAAGCGAGTCTGAGTCTGATCTCTATGCTTTTATACGGATGTGCAGTACAGACAAAAACATACACGCTGTGTTTTGTTGTCAAATCKTAATATTTGCACAATTGTGGTGTGAATAAATGATAAACAAATTCAACACAGGGATCAGAGTACAACTATATTCTCAGCTCTGTCTGTTTTTTGCTGACAGCTGTTGCCAAAATTCTTAAAATGTTGCATCATGTTGTTTTTATGGTTTTTCTGATAAACTCTGTGTTAATAGTCAACATTTATCAAATTGTGTAAAAAATACATTTGTTCATAAGGCAAAAATTCAAAAATATACATCATGTGGATTTTTGCCACAGATAAAATTTTTACCTAAATAAAAGTATCAAGCTGCAAAAAAATGTTCATTTTGCTTTGTGCATTTTTTT